GATTGATAAAAAATATATTGAAACCAGGTTGTGTTGTCGCAATATTTTACATTTTATATTCAAAATGTTGTATATAAACTGAAATTAAGACTGATGTTCTCTTCTTTGTATTTGAATAAAACATGTTTATGATTAAACAGAGAGTGAGAAATTGATAATTATACCCCCAAAAACGAAGTTTGGGGGGGTATATAGGAGTCACCCGGTGGTCGGTCGGTCGGTCGGTCGGTCGGGCAGTCGGTCGGTCGGTCCAGACGTCCGTTTGCATTTTCCTTGTCCGGAGCATAACTTGAAAACTAATGGTTGGAATTCAATATTACATACAATGGTCCTTGACTAATTACAGAGTTATTGCCCTTTGTTACTTTTTCCTTGTCCGGGCATAACTTGAGCAATTGTCAAAACAATAAGGGGAAGTGCAGTGCACAAGAACCATAACTCTATCTAAAGTAATTACAGAGTTATTGCCTTTTGTTGCTCCATTGCTTTTTTTTTTTGTCTGTTGCATCCGGAGCATAAACTTAAAGACTAATGGTTGGAATTCAATATAACTACATACAATGGTCAAGCACATTGAGAGGAAGTGCAGTGCCAAGAAACATAACTCTATCTTGACTAATTACAGAGTTTTGCCCTTTGTTACTTTTCCTTGTCCGGGGCATAACTTGAAAACTACTGGTTGGAATTCAAAACAACTTCATACAATTGTCAAACACAATAAGGGGAAGTGCAGTGCATAAGAACCATAACTCTATCTAAAGTAATTACAGAGTTATTGCCCTTTGTTGCTTTTCAATTGCCTTCTTTTTTTTGTCCGGAGCATAACTTGAAGACTAATGGTTGGAATTCAATATAACTACATAAAATGGTCAAGCACATTGAGAGGAAGTGCAGTGCATAAGAACCATAACTCTATCTAAAGTAATTACAGAGTTATTTCCCTTTATTACTTTTCCATTGCTTTCTTTTGTCCGGACCATAACTTGAAGACTAATTGTTGGAATTCATTATAACTTCATACAATGGTCCAGCACATTGAGAGGAAGTGCAGTGCACAAGAACCATAACTCCATTTTGACTTATTACAGAGTTACTGCCCTTTGTTTCTTTTCCTTGTCCAGAGCATGACTTGAAAACTACTGGTTGGAATTCAAAACAACTTCATACAATGGTCAAGCACAATAAGGGGAAGTGCAGTGCACAAGAACCATAACTCCATCTTGACTAATAACAGAGTTATTGCCCTTTGTTACTTTTCCATTGCTTTCTTTTGTCCAGACCATAACTTGAAGATGTATTGTTGGAATTCATTATAACTTCATACAATGGTCAAGCACATTGAGAGGAAGTGCAGTGCATAAGAACCATAACTCTATCTTGACTAATTACAGAGTTACTGCCCTTTGTTACTTTTCCTTGTCCAGAGCATGACTTGAAAACTACTGGTTGGAATTCAAAACAACTTCATACAATGGTCAAGCACAATAAGGGGAAGTGCAGTGCACAACAACCATAACTCCATCTTGACTAATTACAGAGTTATTGCCCTTTGTTACTTTTCCTTGTCCAGAGCATAACTTGAAAACTACTGTTTGGAATTCAGTACAACTTCATACAGTTGTCAAGGACATTCAAAGGAAGTGCAGTGCACAAGAGCCATAACTCCATTTTGACAAAATACAGAGTTACTGCCCTTTGATACTTTTCCTTGTCCGGAGCATAACTTAAAACGTACTGGTTGGAATTCAAAACAACTTCATACAATGGTCAAGCACAATAAGAGGAAGTGCAGTGCACAAGAACTATAATTCTATCTTCAGTATTTATAGAGTTATTGCCCTTTGTTCTTTTTCTTTGTCTTTCTGGACTTATTACAGAGTAATTCAATTAAACTTCATCAATGGCCAACCACATTGAAAGGAAATGCAACATAAATAAACCACAATTATCTTTAATTGCCCACAACCATAACTCTCTGTTTCAATTCTTTTACAAGGTATTCTGTTACTAGTAACATCCTCATTTCCGAAGCAGACTTGTGGGGGTATTAATCACATTTAGTGATAGTTCTAGTTAATTTTCTGGAAGAAAGACAGTCTAAAAAAAAATCAGTTTACAAACTGAAACCTAGGAATCTCATTGGCCTTAAATAAAATGTTAAGTATAGTTCTTGCCATTCTTAAAGCAGCACGCCTCCAGATTCTTGCTAATGTTCATGAAAATTTTGAAAATGTATTCAAAAGTAAAATATTGTTAAGCTGACAGAGAAAATAATATGCACACTTCAAACAGCACTTGCAACTAAATTAAATTACAAAAAAAGGTCAAAATATGCAAAATTAACCCTTACCGCGTAAGTAACGTAGTAGAAATATGGTGAAAATTACTGAAAAATTGGCCATCAGTTGCAAATAACATGGAAATTATTACTTTTATCTGGAGTTTTTTTACTTTTCTTAAAACCTCAATACATTTTTCTCAAGTTTTATTTTCTTGAAATATTTTGGCTCATCTGGAGGCATACAGCTTTAAGTAAAGTTTTAAGAATAGTTCTAAAATAAAATCTAAAGGACAGTTCTTGCCATATTTTCATGCTTTATGAAACGAAAAACTTAGATATATAATATATGCTAGTTATCCAGTTTTACTTTGGCCAAGTGTCATTTTTAAAGATACTTGAACTTCTTGTTTGTTTGTTTTTCTTCTGATTGTGTGTAATTCTGGATATATAATGTGGGTTGACACAGTTTGTTCATTGATTTCATAAATTCATACATTTCATTCTCTTGTTTTTAGTACATATTTGTTTTGTCAAGGTATACTGACTTTGTATAAATCCATCTTTCTCAGTGTTTTTGTGTTTTCAGGATCTGTTGTAATGAACTGTACAGATTTGGAGCTCACACAGTCATCCGACAGCTGGGTTACAGATGTACAAGAATTCTTAACCAAGTATGCTTTAACATTTATGAGTCTTAGTTGCTGAGTAGATTACAGTCATTGACTTCATGTCACTTGACCCTCACCACAGGGCTTTCTATTCTTATTGGAAAATTCAGTTCTTATCATGTGAGGCAATTTTTGGGCTAACTTGCTGATAGTTGAGATTAATTTTCAGTTTCCTGTCAGTGTCTGAAATAATATATGAGAGATGGTCCAAAGATGGCTACAAATTGCTAAAATACAAAATAAGCAAATTAAAAGATGGCTCAGCTATGTGGTCAGTGAGGAACTTATAAGAATTTTAAACAGGAAATCAGAAACAAAATAGCTTTAAAAAAAAAGAAGAAAAAAAGATTATAACATTTTCTAAGCCTTAATTGTATTTGCTATACATATATGTGCTCACGAAATGTTTTAATTTCAGACATGATAAACATATGATAGCAGATGCTGAGATTGGGTTTGCTGTTTTATATTGTTCTACAGAAAAACACTGCAATCCTGATTATGTTCTAGGTAAAGATCTCTATTTTTCAAAGTTAATTGCTATCGTGCTTTGAATCTTTAAACTTATTTTGTGTTAAAGACTAAAGTGGCGAAATACTGTAAAGTCACTTCGTTTTGTGGACATGAAATTTTGTGGTTTCATCACAAAGGACATTTTTGTGGATTCGTAAATTCATGGATTGTCTGTTTTTGTTAAAAGTTAAACACAGTGTAATGTAAGGCAAAGTAATATTACAGCTGACAAAATAAAATATTGTTGCATCTTGAATGTGATAATGACTTTTTTCATGACAATAACTTTTTGGGTGATAATGGCTGTTTTCAAATTGATTTTCCTTGGAAAGCGCAATAAGAAAATGATCTGAAATTTTGTACACAAGTTACTGCGCCAGACCTACATCAAGTTATACAAAAAAACTTGATCTAGATCAAGTTATACAAAAAACTTTAAAAGATGTTTTCGGTCCCATTATGTCAAAAAAACTCTGTGAAGTCCCTTTAACATATGATTTTATGTTGGTTTGTTCATTAAAGAATTGTTCATATGGTTGTTTTCTATTCATTCCGACTGCATGCTGTTTAGATATTATCCCTTAACATATTCAGTGGTTTAAAGTTGTTGACTTCAAACAGCTTGCCCATCACCTATGTTGGTTCAAATCCAACCAGGGACTTTAAAAGAATTCTTTCATCTCAAGAAGCTATCCAACTCCCTTACAGAACCCCAGTGGTTCCTTATGTGTACTCAGTCTTGTCTGAAATAATGCGCGGAGAGGCATCCGAGTATTTCTTCCATCAGTAAAGCTGGAAAATCATCAAACAGTCTCAGTATAACACTATTGCTACTTAACATTAAACATACATGTATATGCTTATGAAGTTATCTTTTATATTGCAATTATTTATTGTTAGATGCTGATATTTCAAGGTTACCATCCCAGAGTCTTTCTCAAGTTGAACCATTTGTAGCTAACACAGAAACACAAGACAGGTATTGATTTTGAAATTCAATGAGCAAAATTTAAAATTTAACATTTTATCTTTGTCCAACTAATAAGCAATTTCATTGATTTATGACATCTTTTATTTGTTTTGGGCTGTCATGGTGGAGATGTTAAGGTTTTACGTTATACAACAATTGTTATTTGGCACAACTATTTAAGAGGGAAATTTTGTGCTGCACTATTTTCCAATGGGAATATATCCCAGTATTGACTATAAAATCAGTCCAAGAAAATTTCTGGTTGATTGCGGTCCTTGTCTTTTATAGTACGTGTAGCTCATATAACCGTCATTTTGAGGAGTAGATAATTTTTTAAAACTGCAGCTTTCTTAATACATAGTAGATATGGGATTTGGTGATTTTTGTTGAATTTATTGAAGCAGCTTATGGACAGAACATATAAACTTGATGTTATGTTCTTATTTGCCCCAGGTTTCTTTATGACATTGTTGTTAAATTTATTGCCAGGTTATAAAAAAAGGTCTAGGTATGAAACTTAGAATTCTTGATAGTATATTTACTCCAGTGTATGCAAACATTTTCACGGAGCTCTAATGTTCAGTTGTTTACATGGCTAGCTACAGGCACCTTACTCATGATTGCTGCATATCTCAATACAACCATTTATTTTAATTTCTTTCAAGCATGTATAAAAGAATGTTATTCAATTTTCACATTAAAAAAAAAAATGTTGAATATTTACTTACTTACCTATGATAGATGTTTGTGTGTAACAGGTCCCAGAGAGGTTCAAAAAGTCAGAAGAGAAAAGACACACAGACAGTTATTGATGAGACCAAGTTTGGTGAGGATACAGGCCGGACTCAGACCCCGAGAGCTACCCAGAGAGACCAAAGTGACAGAACTCAAACTCAAAAGACCAGTCAGAAAGAGAAGGTTAGATTCTTATTTTAGGAGTCAAGAAGACTGTAAGACTGCCTCTGGTTAGCTTATACAGAATTCATTTTAGTTCAATTACATATATTGCACTATTTATGAATATGCTGTTGGCAATTACTGTTTTATAATCATATGGCAAAGTTGTGGGCAATTAATGTTTTATAATCATATGGCAAAGTTGTGGGCAATTAATGTTTTATAATCATATGGCAAAGTTGTGGGCAATTACTGTTTTATAATCATATGGCAAAGTTGTGGGCAATTAATGTTTTATAATCATATGCAAAGTTGTGGGCAATTAATGTTTTATAATCATATGGCAAAGTTGTGGGCAATTACTGTTTTATAATCATATGGCAAAGTTGTGGGCAATTAATGTTTTATAATCATATGGCAAAGTTGTGGGCAATTAATGTTTTATAATCATATGGCAAAGTTGTGGGCAATTAATGTTTTATAATCATATGGCAAAGTTGTGGGCAATTACTGTTTTATAATCATATGGCAAAGTTGTGGGAAATTACTGTTTTATAATCATATGGCAAAGTTGTGGGCAATTAATGTTTTATAATCATATGGCAAAGTTGTGGGCAATTAATGTTTTATAATCATATGGCAAAGTTGTGGGCAATTACTGTTTTATAATCATATGGCAAAGTTGTGGGCAATTAATGTTTTATAATCATATGGCAAAGTTGTGGGCAATTACTGTTTTATAATCATATGGCAAAGTTGTGGGCAATTAATGTTTTTACAAAGTTTAATTGTAAACAATTACTATTTCTATCAGGTTCTATAAGGGTACCAGTCCATTTCAGATATTTTGCATGGTAAGAGATAAGCTAAAACTGTATATTTTTTGATATGATTATGATACAAAATAAACTACACAAAATGTAAGTATTCCCCAAAAATATGTGATTTTCTAGGTACAGAATGAGAAATCACAAGTGGTACCAGTGGTAAAGGTTAAAGATGAGCCACCTACGCCCTCTCGTTCCACAAAGAAAAGGTTAGTGAATATTCTTACAGATATGTCCTTCCCCTTAGGTATTTGAATATTTGGCATTCTAGATTTGACCAAGTCATTGATTTCACATCATCATTGCTTGTGTCTCAAATGATTGGAAGATTTCTCTGACACAATGATATATATAGGCTATTTTTTCACGTCATAGTTAAGTTTAAGCATCACCAAAATTTCATGGTGAGAATCTTGGTCACCTAAAGGTTTTGAAGTATACTGATGCCTTCATGTAGTTTGCATTACCTCCCCTGGTCATTTCAATTATATTTTAAGGTTACTTAAAAATGTCTCACAATGAAAGCTTATTAAAACCTTTTTGATATTTGTACTAAAATAATAATTTTGAAATATTAAAAATTATGTAAATAATTAATTTAATTTTTCAAATTGCTTAGTTTCATATTTTGTCAATTACATATACATGTACTGATACATGTATATTGAATTATAACCCTTGCAATGGCTGCCCTCTTTGTGAACGATGGTGAGTGTTTTAAAAGTAGAATATTGAACTATATATACAGTAGCATTGTACGTCGTAGAGTTTGAAGAATTTTTCTGTTCACTGATGTAATTTAAGAGATCTTAATACTTAACTTATTATCTGCTGGTTTCCTTAATCAAGTTGAAAATTATTAAGTTAGTCGACCAACTGCATATAGAGCCTAGTCAGACTTTACAGATGAGATAGGAGATAACTGAGAATAGATTGTTTTTATACCTGAAACATTGCTTGTTATATCCCTTAGTGTCTTTTCTTTGGATTTATCTCAATACAGTGTTGGAGCAGAATTTCAAGACACTTACAGAAATCATGATCACAAAATAGAAAAATATCACTTTTTTTGCTGATTTTTACATTTTACATTAATTATTGTATATAAATCAGTGTGAACAGATGAATTTGAAGTCTAAGCAGTGTTTATTCTAGGATTCGATAAACAGGGGGGATTTGTATCGAAAAGTGAGAATATATTACATTTGTTGATCTTTTTCCTTCTTTGTCTCCCTTCCTCTCAAAAAATAAGGGTGAATTCTCAAAAATATGGGTGAATCCCCCATCGCCCCTCCTAGAATAGACACTGCTAAGTGCATTTTGCTGGTGAAAAGGCAATATTTAGCATTTAATAATTCAAGCGCCTTGTCTGCTATATACCGGAATATGGTATTTAGTGCAGTGCTCCAACACTATTTTTAGTCTCACTCCTTTTCTTTTCTAGTGGATCTTGACCTATATAATATTGGTATGATTCACACAAATAAACATTTAACTGTATTACAAAAGTGATGTTAAAATATAAACTTGAACTGTTTGTTATATCCACCTTTAAAGGATTAGATTTTATTCAGGAATAGATCGGAAGTGGAACCGGAACAAATTGAAGTGTTAAGTAAGAGAGTAAAAGCTGAACCAGTTACACCATCTAAATCAACCAAGTCTAATCAATCGAATGTGTCCAAATCCAAAGAAAATAAATCAAGCACATCCAGGGCAGAGGATGATGCTGAAATAATATGGGATAGTGATGATGAAATTGACTACTCTAGAATAGACACAGATGTGCCTTCTAAAACAACTAAACAAAAAACATCACCCAGACAAACAAGGAGAAATTCACCAGCCCCTGAAAGCAAATCAAAGAGAAGTAATACAAACAAAAGTAGGTCAAGGTCAAAGTCACCGGCTCCAAGGTCAAAATCTCCAGCAATAAAATCAAAGTCTCCAACCCCAGAGAGCACAACGAAAAGAGGTCAACGAAATAAAAGGTCACGGTCCAAGTCTCCAGCTCCAAGGTCAAGGTCACCTGCTTCAAGTTCAAGGTTGCAGGCTCAGGCAGATAAGGAAGTGAAAAAAGAACCTATATCACCCAGTCCAAAAACAAGTTCAAAACGAAATGGAAAGGGTGAAGACTCTGAAAATAACATGCTTAGCAAGGATGTGAAAGTTGAAGATGAAAGTCAAGGTCACACACAGAGTAAACAGGGACATGGTAATGGCAAAGAAAATATGGCTAAGAGACAGTTGAAGGTAATTGTATTTTATTGTAAATTTTGATTTATAGCTCGTCCATTTCAAAGAAAAATAGTGCAGTTATGATAGCTGTGGTGTTGTGGAATACTAGTTTATCATGACAAAGTGCAGTTGTTTGACAAGGGGTATAATTTTGAAAGCATTATTTTTTGTTATTTTTGAGTTATGCCCCGTTTTAACTTTGAAGCATGAACACCACATGCGGTGCTCTTGTGTTTGTTTCTTTTTTATGCCTAGATAATAAATCAATGTAACTAGGGAGTTTACAATTTTCATATTTGCATTACACTGTTCAATAATAACAGTTTCACCTCTCTAGAGTAACTCCTGTCAGTAACAGCCTCGAAAAACTTTGTCTTTTACTAAGCAGAAAGTGAACTGGACTATCTATTAAGCTGACAGAGAGTTATAGCTTCTCAATTGGTGCCTGCTTAAAATTGAAAGAAAAAAAAGGGGGCAACAGTGGTCATTCTTCATTTGTAAAGCTAAAAACTTAAGGGTATGGATGTGGTTGTCAAAGCCATGCAGTTGTGAAATAAAATAAAAATTTTATGTAGATTAGTATAAGATTTGATATAAATATTATATTTTAATGTTCTTTTTTTAAAGAAAGAGGAGGAGGAAGATATTACATTGTATGACCGAAGGTCCGGTTTGAGTCAAAGAGACGTACCAGATGGCTTCCTAACTACACGACAACCTATCAGAGTAAGTCTTCTTCACTGAAATACCTAAGTAAATATGAGTTAATTTTTAAATAGAATATAAAATAGAAGTAACAAAAATAAAGAGTGGCCAAAGATATATCGTAGGAAATTTCACCAATCTACATTTCAACAGCGTGATTTGAAAGGGCCATAACTCCTTTTTTAGCTCGACTTTTCTATGAAAAGGGGAGCTATCCTACTCGCCCCGGCGTCGGCGTCGGCGTTAGCGTTGGCGTCACACCTTGGTTAAGTTTTTCGTACCACCCCACTTTATTTCAGAAGTATTACAAGTATGGCTTTGAAACTTACCATACTTGTTCACCATCATAACCTCCATCTACAGACAAGAGTACATAACTCTGTCAAGGTTTTTGACAGAATTATGGCCCTTTTTTGACTTAGAAAGTGTATTGAGCTTGGTTAAGTTTTTTGTACCACCTCACTTTATTTCAAAACCATTGGAGGTATTGCTTTGAAACTGACCATACTTGTTTACCATCACGACCTTCATCAACAGACAAGAGGACATAACTCTGTCAAGGTTTTTGACAGAATTATGCCCCTTTTTGACTTAGAAAATACATTGAATATGGGTAAAATCCACTTATTGCCTTAACCCTTTGAGATATTGCTTTGAAACTTTTAATGCTATTTCACATCATTACCCCCATCTGTACGCAAGAGAAGGTAACTCTGTCAAGGATTTGTTTTAAAAATTAAGGCCTTTTATCGACTTAGAATCTTGGTTAAGTTTTTAGTACCAGTCCACTTTTTGACTGAACTGTTTGAGATATTAATTTGAAAGTTGGAATACTTGTTTACCATCATGGTCCCAAAACATGGGCAGGAGAAGGTAATTCTGTTAAGGATTTTATTTGAATTATGGCCCTTTTTGACTTAGAAACTCAGTTAAGATTTTCATTCTTGTCCACTTGTTGACTTAACCATTTGAGATATTACTTTGGAAGTTGGAGTTCTTATGTGCCATCATGAGACCTATCTGTAAGCAAGAGAAGATAACTCTGTGAAAATGTTTCTTGATTTGTACTTAGAAATTCCTAGTTAAAGTCTTGTGTGCCCTTAACTGTCAAAGTTTTGTTTTATAGGCAAGCACTAAAAAAGTCGAGCGCGCTGTCCTTCTGACAGCTCTTGTTATACACCCGTTTGAAAAACGAGACGTATTATGGGAATCCCCCTGGCGGGCGGCGTCCAATTTTGTCCGGAGCATATCTCCTAAATGTATGAAGGGATTTTAATGAAACTTCATAGAAATGTTCACCACTATGAGGAGCAGTGTCGGGCACATGAACGAGGTCTCTAGGTCAAAGGTCAAGGTCACACTTAGAGCTCATTGAAAAATGATTGTCCGGAGCAAAACTTCCACATGCATAGAGGGATTTCAATATTACTTGGCACAAATGTTCACCATTGTGAGGCGGAGTGTCGCGCACAAAATCCAGGTCCCTGCAGCCAAGGTCAAGGTCACACATAGAGGTCAAAGTTTAGATGAAATATGAAGATGTGTATAGGGACGATTTAATCATTATTTATTGAGGGATTGTAACACAAATGGTCATTATCATGACTACGGCTGTGACACATGTACTTTAGGTCAATATATGCAAGGTCAAGGTCACTAAAGATGGTGAAATATCCAGATTTTGTCTGGAGCATATCTCCTACATGTATTATAGAATTTTTATAATACCACCATGATATGTATTGCTCCATGCATGATCCAGGTCTCCAGGTCAAAGGTTAAGGTCACACTTAGAGCTCATTGAAAAACGCTTGTCCGGAGCAAAACTTCTACATTCATAGGGGGATTTCAATATAACTTGGCACAAATGTTCACCATTGTGAGGCTGAGTGTCGCACGCAAAATTCAGATCCCTGCGACCAAAGTCAAGGTTACACATAGAGGTCAAAGTTCAGATAAAAATTTGAAGATGTGTATAGGGACCATTTAGTCATCATATATTGATGGATTGTAGCACAAATGGTAACTATCATGACTACAGGTGTGACACATTTAATTTAGGTTAATATTTGCAAGGTCAAGGTCACTGGAGATGATTAAATATCCAGATGTTGTCCGGAGCATATTTTCTACATGCATGGAGGAATTTTAATGTTACTTTATAGAATTGTTCACCACCATGAGACGTAGTGCCCTGCACATGAACCAAGTCTCTAGGTCAAAGGTGAAGGTCACAGTTAGAGCTCATAGAAAAACGCTTGTCTGGAGCAAAACTTCTACATGCATAGAGGGATTTCAATATAATTTGGCACAAATGTTCATCATTGTGAGGCTGAGTGCCGTGCATAAAATTCAGGTCCCTGCGACCAAGGTCAAGGTCACACATCCTGTGCATATCTTCCCTACTGATTTGTTTTAAGGTTCATTTAACAACACAGTGCCAAGAATAAAAACTTGCTTGCTAGATAACACTTATCCATAATGCCCCCATCTCCATCTAAAGCTTTCGTAAACGGGCGTATTTTGTGACTATGGCACCCTTGTTTATATGAGTTATAACCCTTTCACACCAAGCCCTCGATTTGTATTTATTGATATTGATGGGCGTCCATGGCAGAGTTGTTAAGTTCATTGACTTCTAACCACTTGCCCCTCACAGCTGTGGGTTCAAATCCCACCAGGGACTTTGGACTTTGGATTCTTTCATGTGAAGTAGCCACCCATCTAGCTTTATGGAACATGGGTGGTTCTACTTGGTCCTGGTTCGTGCCTGAATCAATATTCTTAGGGACCCCTGAGGTCCTCCTCCATCATTAAAGCTGGAAAATGGCCAAATGACCTACTGTGCAACATAAAACGCATTAAGGGAAAAACACTGATTAGTGTATGTTTATTATCCAGGATCAGGTTCAGAGACATGAGGGATATGAAAGAGATGAGGATTTGCCTGTAGGATGTGTACATGTAGAAACAGTGAGTCTGATTTCCCGGAAACCGGCACCAAAAGAGAATGGTGCGGGCGACTGTCCTGAAGGGTTTACAAGATGGAAGGGGAAAATTGTCCGCAACTTTAAAAAATTTAAAAAGGTATGAATGCATATACATGTATATTTGACTTTTATCTATCCAGGAGGGGTGTCCGTGGCCAAGTGGTTAAGGTCGTTGACTTCAAATCACTTGCCCCTCACCTCTGTGGGTTCGAATCCCGACAGGGACTTTGGATTCTTTCATGTGAGGAAGCTATCCAGCTAGCTTACGGAGCGTCGGTGGTTCTACGCAGGTACCCATTCGTGCCTGAAATAATGCACAGTAGGGCACCTGAGGTCTTCCTCCACCAGTAAAGCTGGAATGTCGCGATATGACCTATACTGTGTCAATATGACGTAAAACCAAAAAAAACAAACAAACATCTATCCAGGATTTTTCTATGTCAAATGTCAGCAGTAAGAAATTCTTATCTGGCTCATAACTCTGTCATGCATGAAATAACTTTTGTTATCATACATTGGTTAAGCTTTTGCATTCAAGTTGGTATCTCCAAAACTTTTGAAGAGAATGAGTTGAATCTTAACACACTTATTTGAGAGCATAATAGTAGCCCATCACTATAACATGGATTTGACAGTCCTTTTTGAACTTAGAAAATTCTACATTTTCCAGGCTCTTGTTATCAAGCACTGAGAACAGGTGAGAAAGCTGTCCTACTGACAACTCTTGTTTATGTTTATCATATACTTTACCAGTAAAGTAAATACTAAGTATATAATAGTACAAATATCACATTTTGTACTGATGGACTACAGGAGCACAAGCCCAGTAAATGCTTTTAATGCAGATTAAATCCTCCAAAGGACAATTGTGGTTAAGTTGTTAAGAGTTGTAAACTTCAATTCACTTGCCTCTTCTTGTTGTAGATTCCAATTCCACAAGGGACTTTGGATTCTTTCATGTGAAGAAGCTATTCAGCTAGTAAAGAGAACATCAGTGGTTCTACCTGGGTTAAGCTTCTTATGTCTGAAATTATACTCAAAAGGGGATTGGACGTTTTCTTCCATCACTATAGATGAAGATATATAGTGTCAATGCAAGCAACCTATTAATTATAAACCCTTTACAATATTCATGTGTCACATTTTGTACTTGATTTTCTTTTCCTGTTTTTGTTTGTAGACAGACCATGCAGGCTCTCAAGGGTTACCTAATATTATTGGAGGTAGTGATCTTGAGGTGCATGTTGCTAAAAGATCAAAAGAGTTAGATGACTGGTTCAGGGAATCTTTACAGGTATTTATTGGAAGATCATTTATCCAGCATAGTTATGGTCACTGAAATATTTTACTTTTTATGCACCCCACAATGTGGGAGCATATAGCGTTGCACTTGTCCGTCAGTCCGAGCAAACATTTGATTATTATGAGCTTCATTCCGTAGTTAAATAAAGAACAAAAACTCATAAAATTCAAATTAAGAGCTATATTTTTGTTTTTATGAGCTTATTTTGCTTATGGACGTTGGTCCAGGTGGTGTTTATGAGCTGATTTGCCTCATAATCATCAAAAGTTGGTATGTCCGTCTGTCTGTCCGTCCGTCCGTCTGTCCGAGCAAACATTTGATTATTATGAGCTTCATTCCGTAGTTAAATAAAGAACAAAAACTCATAAAATTCAAATTAAGAACTATTTTTGTGTCGCCTCTACGGAGAAGTGGCGACATATAATGATCACTTCTCCGTCGTCTGTCTGTCCGTCTGTCCGTCTGTCCGTCACAAAACTTGTCCGGACTACTCCTCATAAACTACTGGTGCAATTTCATCCAAACTTTACAGGAATGATCAGTACCAAGTTTAGTTGTGCATATTGTCAGCATTTTCCGGTTCAATGATTTTTGGCAGAGTTATGGCCCTTTAATAATTTTTAATTTTAAAGTTTCCGGACTACTTCTCTTATACCACTAATGCAATTTCAATGAAACTTCACAGGATTGATCTGTAGCTCAAGTCCTTGCGCATATTGCATGGGTTTTCTGGTTGAATGATTTTTGGCTGAGTTATGGCCCTTTGATAAAAAGGTGTTTTTTCTGTGTGTTGCCAGATATGCAAAAGCTTGTCCGGACTACTCCTCATAAACTACTGGTGCGATTTCATCCAAACTTTACAGGAATGATCAGTACCAAGTCTAGTTGTGCACTGTCCGTCTGTCTGTCCGTCTGTCACAAACTTTGTCCCAACATGAAATTGGCCATCATGAGGCGACACATGTGATTACTGATCGCTCTTGTTTGTTTTTATGACCTTATTTTGCTTATGGACGTTGGTCCAGGTGGTGTTTATGAGCTGATTTGCCTCATAAACATCAAAAGTTGGTACGTCCGTCCGTCCGTCCCGAAATCTTGTGAACGCAACTCCTCTTAAACCGGATGGCAGATTTTGCTTAAACTTACAGGGATGAACAACCTTAATGTGTAGATGGTAGTAAAGGAAGGAATTTTGGCTGCGATCAAATTAAACAGAATTATGGCCCTTTGTTGATTTTTTCACTACATGTATATACTATGTAGAAATTTTGTGAACGCAACTCCTCTTAAACCGGATGACAGATTTTGCTTAAACTTCCAGGGATTAACAACCTTAATGTGTAGTTTGTAGTAAAGGAAGGAATTTTTGCTGCGACCAAATTTAAGAGAATTATGGCCCTTGGTTGATTTTTTAGTTTCACATGTAGTCAAAAAAAATATTTGACCTAGAGTCATAAGATTGACAAAACAGTGGTGTGTGGGGGCATCCGTGTCCTATGGACACATTTCTAGTTTAACTTATAAATGACTCATAAACACAGAATGGAAGCATTGAGTCTACAGTCTGTTGATTTGCTTGTTTGACTTATGGCAATGCATGTTAGATGATGAAATTAACAGATAAATAAGGAGTGATGTATTTTATCTTTTAATGTTACACTAAACATTGTTACTTTATATCACCCTTCTTTATTGGAATGCTTCCAAGGTTTTGGACTAGTTTTGACTCGGGACTCATTTCTTTAGCTTTGGGTCATTTACATCTAGATTATACTCTTGCATTTGTAGTAATTAGGGATGGACAGTTACATTGTAAGTTCTAGAGTATAATCAAATTTCATTATTGTTGTTTTAAACTCATAAAAAAAGACTTGCTAATAACTGTGAAAAATTAAACCTTAATTTAAAAATCTATGAGTAACTGATACTTTTCTCTTTAAGACATTCACTTTTCTCTTTAAGACATTCAATCTTTCCGCCATAAAATTCATATGTTATGGATGCCACACATGACTGACCAAAATTTTTATTTCAGACAGAAACAGAACACAATGCTGAAGAGAAAAGGGCCCAGGATTTGTTTGAGTAAGTACCTGTCACATATTTGTTTAAAAGTATATTTTAATTGAAAATCAATGAATGCTTGTAGGATATATGTTCAGCTCACTTGAGCACTCTTTGCTCATAGGTGAGTTTTTTTAGATGACAATGGGTTGTTGCTCATTGTGGCTACTTATTCTTAGGTCTGATTTGTAAGTGGGTCACAAGAGTTTAGACTTAAAAATGAAAAAATTAGTAGTCTTCTTTTCAGAAACTACAACACACAAAACTAAAATAGTAGGCATCTAAAATAATTAGGTATCTACTATCACCTTGTGGTTCTGTTATAAAATTATATACTGTATAAGTGGTTAATTTAAAATGTGGAAATATTTACGATTTTTGTGAATTGAAATTATTTGCAAATAATTGCGCAAAAATTATTTCTTTTTATCAAACTTTCTTCATTTAAAAACACTTTGACCCACAGTCTTCATATTTGGTATGGAGATTAGTCATGACTAGTAAATGACCCATTTGGTCACCCATGTTGATTTTGAGGTCACTGGTTCTAAGGTCAAGGTCACTGGTGCCTTAACTTCAAAAAACTTGTCTGCTCAGTTGCTTAAGAATGCTTTTGTCAAGAGTCTTCATATTTGGTATTCAGGTTGGTTATGTCTAGTAGATGACCTCTAATGATTTTGAGGTCACTTGGTCAAAGTCAGAAGTCAACATACTCTTAAACAGTTTCTGTATTATTTTAAACAATTTAACAGAATGCCCTTTATTTTTTCCATTTCAGTTTTGATCCAAGTGCACGGCGAAGAGGGAGATAAAATTTATGAACATTTCAAAATTTTTATGAGTTGTGTTATTTCCTTGATTAAAACCTTCGTTTTGAGTTGTCTTTATACTTATTTTTTATCAGTTTAGACGTATAATTCATCTTTATTTCCCTGATTTTATTTTGTAATACAGTAAAAACTCTGAAAACAGGAATCCTCTGAAAACAGGACAATTTTAAAAGTTCTGTATTTTCTTCTTATAAGATCATTGCAAAACATCCTCTAAATACTGGAACCTCTGACTTCCGAAAACCTGACAATTTTCTATGGCTACAAATGCTTAACATGCAAAAAAAATCCTCTAAAACTGGACAGAAACTTAAGTATCAACTTTTTTGTGTATTTTAATGTGAACTAAGATATCAAAATGTACTCCAAACAGGTGACATGTTCAATTACAAGTTAATGGTCACATGCTTTTTATCAATACAGGTGTGAAAATACTTGTCAGTGTGTGTTCAATTCTTATTGGCAATTAAATTGTAGCTTTTTCATCATAATTGTGTCTTGTCAAGTATAGGTATGATTTTCCAAAAAAAAAAAAATGAATTTGTTGGGGTTTTTTTTATATAAAATGTAAAAAGGAAAACATTCGTTTAAAGATTCCTGTTTTGCTTAAAATTTTGATGTTGAAGTTATCTTTTTTGCGGCATTGATTTTATGCAAAAATAATAACAATTAATTCCATTAGTTACCAATTCTACCATATTAATTTCCACATTTAAAAAGCCATTTAATAAGTTATATTTCAGACAAGGTGTTGTTTTAATTTCTAATTTTCTGAATAATATATATGAATTTGCATAATAAAATTTCTCAAGACATATATTGCAAAACGAAATTTAAGTATGACTTAAACAAATGGGTTGAAAAGTAAATACAAAATGATTTATACAAGATCAATGTTCAAACCCATCATAATTTATCGATAATTGTATAAAACCTCTGAAAACTGGAATCCTCTGAAAACCGGACTTTGGTGAAGTCCAGGCAGGGTCCGGTTTTCAGAGTTTTTACTGTACTCGTGTGAACTTACAACAGGATTTCCATCTATCCGAGACAGTAGTTGTCTGTATGTCATTTACAATTTGTTTGTACTGGAACTATGGTATTTAAATTTCCAGCATGTTTCTGATACCACATGGATCGTAGACTTAACAACATTAGTAATACAAATTCTACGATCAATAATACGATCTATATGGTCTCAGAAACATGGTACACCCAATTTCATTTTTACGTTCTTGGTGACCTGATAGTACTTGTACTGTTTGCCACTACTTCTGAAGTTCTACATGAAAAAATGCACAGTCTATTGATGCAGCGATTTACGATTTTTCACAATCGTGGCAAGGTAATGCCCGCTATATATTCTTGCTGAGGTGTTAAACATCTGGTATTTTCCACAAGCAAACGTACAAACAAGCTCAAGGACATACATGGCTACCTGCAAGAGACAACATACAACACATTACTGAAGTCATTTCTGTGTTTAGGCCATTTAGAATCTTTCACGGGGCCATATGTGGCAACGTAAGCCCCGCAATACTCTGGCTAAGGGGTTTAATTTAACATCTGGTAATTTCCAAAGGAGCATATGTACCCCCTGTACGACAAAATAAACAAGCTCGGCCTTTAACAAAGTATTTTCACAAGGTCATACGTAGCTACCTGCAAGAGACAAAATACAGCCTATTAATAAATTCAATGGGGCCATATGTGACTGTCCACAAGAGAATAAACAGTCTACTACTGCTGACATTTAAGATTTCTACACGGGGCCTATACGTGGCTAAGTACAAGAAGTAATGCACAGTTCATTGTTGCAGCCCTTTTTAGCTCGACTATACGAAGTATATATGGAGAGCTGTCTTACTCGCCCCGGCGTCCGCGTCCAGATTTCAGATTAAAGCTTTGGTGCAGTAAAATATTTTTCACTGTAACTTTGTCATTTCTTAAGGTATCAACTTCAAACTTCAAATATAGGTTCCTTATCATCAACCACATCTTATGTGACAAGGTTCATAACTCTAGCACCAATATTTTCAGATTTATCTCCCCTTGAACTTAGAATTTCCCTTAAAAAATACTATTTTTTACTGTTACTTCTTTATTTCTTGAGGGATCAACTTGATACTTCAAATATATGTACCTTATCACAATCCAAATCGGCCCCTGTGCACAAATCGGCCCCCTAGACGTTTCGGTCCTTTTCCGCGAGACGTTTCGGCCCTTTTTTATAACAATTTTATTTAAGTATAAAAGGAATTAAAATCAACATGGCTTCAGGTTAAAACGGAGTTGCGAGTCCCAGCTAGTAAGCTTCTCCCAGGAAATTCAGGACAATCTTGAAAGTGGTCAACAAACTGATGTCATAGTCATGGATTTCAGTAAGGCATTTGATAAGGTAGACCATCACAAACTTGTGAGTAAACTGGAAAGATTGGATATAAGTTATGAGGTTACAAATTGGGTCCATTCCTTCCTTAAGTCACGCTCCCAGCAAGTTGTAGTTGAAGGTCAAAAATCAGGAATTCTTCCAGTCCTCTCAGGTGTCCCCCAAGGCTCAGTATTAGGTCCCTGTCTTTTCCTTTCTTACATAAACGACCTCCTGGATATACATAAACGACCTCCTGGATAGTGTCAAAGGTAAGGTTAGACTCTTTGCAGATGATACTGTTGTCTACCTAACCATCAGGTCTAAACAAGATGCCCAAAACCTCCAAGATGACCTTCATGCTTTAGAAACATGGGGAAAAAGACTGGTCCATGGAGTTCAACCCTGATAAATGTGAAGTTCTCAGGATAACAAGAAAAAGAAACCCTGTAATATTTCCTTATACCCTCCACAACATCCAACTAAGCTCAACTCAAGAAGCAAAATACTTAGGAGTCACTTATCAGTCAAGTCCTTTCATGGACCAAACATATAAACAATATAACATCCAAAGCAAATAACTCCCTCAGATTCATTAGAAGAAATATTAAAACCCCAAATAAAAAGATAAAGGAAACTGCATATCAGACCTATGTTACATTGTAGACCTTAGGTTGAATATTGCTCCATAGCTGGCATCCTTGGCAGAAATACTTAATCTATAAGATAGAGCAAGTACAAAGATCAGCTGCTAGACGTATTTTTAATGATTATGACTATACAAGCAGTGTCTCAAAAATGATAAATGATCTTTACTGGCAAACCCTTGAACAGCGTCGAAACATCAGTGCTGTAACCTACGTGAATAAAATCCAAAACAACATTGTTTTTGTTGACCACCAACACCTTACTCAAACAAGAAATCTGAACTACCTGATACCCTAGTCGAGGACACAATATCATCAAAATTATTTCTTTCCAAGGAGCATACGTCTTTGGAATAGCCTTCCGTCTAGCCCCAGTTTAAACATCTTTACTGAGAGGTTTGACCCATTCTATAAATTCTAAATTGCACACTATGTCTTTTAAATTAATAGTCTTGTAGAACTTTTATTTTAACTTTTTAATTTGCATATGAATAATTTCTTTTATTAACAGTTCCCTGACAACCCCACAGGGGGCCCACACGGTGTTTGGATAGTAAATTTTAAATACTGCTTGATAGTGACCTTAAAATGAGATTTTAGTCATAACCTTGTAATATGTATCAGCAATGATCTGATCAATTTCAAAACAGAGCAGCAAGAATAATTCTAGATAAAAGTTACGATGCACCCTCCAGTGATTTGTTTTAAAAGAACTAAATTGGATGTGATTTGATGAAAGAATGAAATACAAAAAAGCAATCATAATGTTTAAATCTATCAATGATATACCATATCCACAATACATGCAAAGTAAATTCCAATTTGTTTACCAAAAACATGAGCGCAACTTAAGATATACAAATAGTTCAGACCTACATGTAGCTGTTCCACGACCTAAGAAAGAATTTTTCAGAAAATCCCTAGTATACTCTGGCCCTAAATTATGGAATAATATCCCTCTTAACATAAGAAAATCTAAAACAGTTCAGGAATTTCAAGCTTCATATCTATCCTGGCATTTCTCATCATTAAATTATACATTTTTTAACAAAATTAGAATCCAATCGATCATTTGATGTACCACCTAAAACGTATTTCCCACATCATTTAATTTGATATGTACTTCTTTGACATGTATTATGCTATGAATGGACTGTAAATATTTAACATGTATTTCTTGTTGTGACAATTTCAATGTACATTGAAACAAAATGTTATTGCAATTAGTTTTGTAATATTGTAGTTGTATAAATTATGTTTTTATTAGAGGCCCACATGGAAGATTGGGAAACCAAATGTGTAGCCTCGATAAATAAAGCCTTTTCTTTCTTTCTTACTTACTTACTTACTTACTTACTTACTTATCTTATATTTTTAGCTCGCCTGTCACAAAGTGACAGGGTGAGCTTTTGTGATCGCTTTTCGTCCGGCGTCCGTCCGGCGTCCGTCGTCCGTCCGCACTACCGAAAAGGGATAGAGGGCCATCTAACTGTAAACAGAACAAAAGAGAACAATAGAGTTCATTCCGTAACAATAGAGTAAGGGGCCATTGGCCCTCTATTAAACAATAGAAAATAACAAAAGAAATGGCCCTTTATTCCATTTCGGCCAGACGTCCGTCCGTCCGTCCGTCCGTCCATAAAACTTTTGCTTTAAATGACATCTCCTCATAAACCACTGAGCCAATTTCATACAAACTTCACAGGAATGTTCCTTTGG